ATTTGTCCCACAAATAATGCCACGCAGGAATTTCTTCTTCCCAGGTCTCTTCCCCATTTTGATCAAGTTGGCACTATTAGCTATGCCTGGTTCTTGTAGGAGCTGAATAATTCAGCTAAGATAATGTGCCTGGAAAAGAAGTCATGCTAGAATACCAGTTCAGGAATTCTATTTCTGGAACCCTTGCCGCTCTATGCAGAGTGACACCTGCCACTAGCTTGGCATATCTGAGCCTCTTGACCTTCTGGAGTGCCTGGTTGGCTTTTCAGCACCTCTCGTTTCCTTACTCAGAGCCACTAGTGATGGTGCGGAAAGCCACACAATGGTGGCAGAGGAATCCACTGAACTTTCCAAAGGCTGTCGGAGCTGTCTGCTTACTGCTTATGGCTTGGCGGCCATTTCAGTCGTACACAATGGCTGTCTACTGTCAGCTCTTCCTCTTGGTTTCTCAGCAGTCATCCAACCCACACCCACTCAATCTGAGCTTTTTCTAGTGTAACTGGGAAGTCTGCAGTTTTATGTGTCCTCAGCTGCCTCTTATATTCACGTTTCTTGCAAGATTTTAGGAAGACATTGTTTTCCTGTTCCAATTTGGATTTTATTATCTAATTCTCAGTTCTATCAACGACATTGAAAATATTTCTAGAAAGATGTGTATGCTGTATTGGTTTGAAGAATTACTCTTTTTTTTTTTGAGGGTTTAACCAATTGGTCAACACTTCCTGAAAACTCATGTTATCTTGGATTGCCACAAATCACTATTTTTCCCCCTCCTTTTCTCATTGCCAGCATGTAGAGGTTTCCCAACATAAAATCTTTAGATTTCTTCTCCCTGCCCTGTCTCCTGCTTCTTTTTTTTTTTTTTTGGGGGGGGGGTCTGTGTATATACTAACTTGCATGTGAATTCCAACCTCTTCTACAACCTCTGTGCATCTCTGCCTGTTGAAGGTTTTCACCTGCAGGTTGCGCTTCTTAGATTCTGCGTCTGAAACCAGACTCCTCAAAATGTCTTTGTGTGGTCCCACTCTTATGCAATGGCTTTACTGTGGTGCTTTTTCCCGTGTGCAGAATATTTCTGACTTTGATCATGGCACAGTGAAGTGTCAGCCGTGTCCTCCCAGCTGCTCATTTGGCCTGCTGAGCCAGTTAGGTTACATCCACCCCTCTGCATTATGGGTTCCCCGACTTCCCATCTTCCTGTTCCAGATGACTCATTTTTTGCTATAATCTGGTCTGATTCATTTCACCTTAGTTCTCAAAGCTTAATGAGAGCTCAGCATTCCAACCCAATTTAATACATGCCCTGAGAGCATTGAAGGCCCCCAGACTTCCTGTATTTGTCTTTTTTCTCTTGCTCCTTCGGTTGGATGAGGCTCATTGTTTCATGTGCACTTAGTATTTCTTAATCTCTGATTTTTTTGTTTTTGTCAGGAAGTGTTTTTTCTATTGCTTTGGGGTTTAACTTAATGGTTTTTATATGTTTTAATTTAAAATTCTACCTTTGGAAAAGTCTTACTTCCTTTTTTCTTCCAGGAAGGTTTTTCTGATAACCTCAATTAGAAGAATCAAACTTTTTAAAAAATTACTATTCATGGGAATTTTTCTCAAGGTACACGTTATTCTTTTTTATAGTAGCTTTATACTTTTTATAATAGTCCATGAAATATTGCCCAAAGAACTATAGGGTTTTAATTTACATATACTTGTATTTGAATACAGGCCTGTTTACCCTTGTAGGTTTATTATTTTGGACAAGTTATTTGTGCTTTTAGTTTTTCTCATCTGTAAAATAAAATGGATTTTGATAAGCATCAGATTAAATGCTTGTCACTTATGTAAAAAAAGATTATAGACTGTATGGTAGAATCCCTAATTGGATTGGAATATTGGTCATGCTATGAATTGTGGCTTATTCTCCATGGCCATGATTCCTAGTTAATAGGATACAGAGCTAATGATATTTACTACATGAAATGCAAAGGAATTAAGAGCATGCAAATTACAATATGGGTGGCAGCAACTTGTGTCATTGTTTTTGTTGTTACATTAATGCAAGAATTTCTACCAGTGTTCATATATCATCTCATTCAGTCTCAATTACCAAAAAGTGTTTTGAGCCGATTGTATTGATTTATAGTGGAGAAGGGAAAACTTTACTACTACCTTTTTAGAAAAATATGGGCTATGATTTTAGTTTTGTGGTTTAAATTTCTAGTGATTTTGTTTAATCATGATAAAAGAAACATGTAGCAGAAGATTCATAATATGTTCATATCCACAGGGTCTACCCACTTTAAAAATACTGTATAGCGTATGCCTCAGGAGAGCTCGTTTTCTAGTAGAGGGGACGGAGCAGATAGACGTTGTCTGAGAGAAAGATCACAGTTCAAGCAGAGGAAAAGCTTGTGCAAACATGGAAAAGAGGGAACACAGACCACGCTCTAGAAAGAAGGCATTTGAACTGGCACTTGAAGGTTAAGCAGGGGTTTACACAGTAGGGAAGATCTGGTTTCTACCTTACAGGCATGGGGTTCTGGAAAATTCTTGGCTATTAAGGAAGTGCTGAGCAGTCATAGAAGCCAAGAAAAGGCAGGGTGGGATGAGGAAGGGTGATTTCAGAGGATAGAAGGAGCCAGGGATGGGCACGTGGCCGTCATCATGGGCGTCCTCACGTAATATGAGCAATTCTGTCTGACTAGCATCACTGAGACCTCAGAAGCTTTTCCTAGGAATGATTGAACATGCCTGTCTTTGCTTTGGATGAAGATGACTTATTCCAGGCAGAAGAATGAGGGATGATGCAGTGAATGTAAGATTATTGAAATACCTAACTAGCTCTGAGAGCCCAAAGTGATTGGAATGAGTGGGAAACAAATAGCAGAAACATATCTGAGAAGTGATTGGTTGGTGGTTTGCAGGGTTGTCTGGTTCCAGAGATTGGATAGACAATGCCTTATTCTTTATTTCAAAATTTTTAAACAATTTACAATTTGTTAGGCTGTAAAAATTACAGAAGTTGAACAACCCGTAATTTGTTATTCTGTTCCTTAGCTATATTATACAGAAAGCTGACCATCTGGGTACTGCTTTGTTAACTCCAATTCTATGCCAGATATTTTAATAGTGGCTAAAGCTTGGAGTTTTTATGAATCTGCATTGCTGAAATGTTCAACTGGGTCAGAAGCTGATTAAAGACTATTTGTTTACTTTTCAAATCAAAGGATGCATAAGACTTATTGATTGCCTGCAGGAAACATGTAAAGAAGTTTCCTTTTTAAATTAATCCACATATCTTACACTGCATTTCAAAGGAAGTGCTAGGGAGCAGGTGCTGAGTCAGAAACTGGTTCTAGTCATGTTGTAGGAAGCACAGCAGACTGTAATGTCTGAAATAGGGATTGTGGACTAACTTCATAGGAGAGATTTCCAGCTGCTGACCTGGCTGCAGATTGACCTGGCTGGAGCTCCTGGTTGGTTCTGTATGGGAAGGGAGAGCATCTGCTTTTGTAATAGGAAGATCTGATGCAAAACAGAGAAGACCTGTCTTCAGAAAAGAAATTGTAACGTTTTGATTAAAATGGAATGTGAACATCTGCAGGTCAGAGGAAATCACTGATGACAAAAGATATCACTGATTGCATAAATATTTTTTTAAAGACTTATTTTATTTTTATAGGAAAGTCAGATATACAGAGAGGAAGATCTTCTGTCTGATGGTTCACTCCCCAAGCAGCCGCAATGGCTGGAGCTGAGCTGATCTGCAGCCAGAAGCCCAGCGCCTCTTTCGCATCTCCCATGCAGGTGCAGGTTCCCAAGGCGTTGGGCCATCCTCATCTGCTTTCCCAGGCCACAAACAGGGAGCTGGATGGGAAGCAGGGCAGCCAGGATTAGAACCCATGCCAATATGGGAATTTGGTGCGTTCAAGGCGAGGACTTTTGCCACTGGGCCATGGTGCTGGGACCCATCTTTGCATTTTGACCTTGCTGTTATTGCAGTAAATTTTGTTACATAGTTTTTGTTATGTATTTATTTTTGGTATATTTTTGTTATATGTTAAATTTGTTAAATAAATTGCAGGAACAGCAAGAATTTGGCCATTGGTTAAATTATGCATTTTATAGTCTAACCTAGTGCTGAGTGTGTGTGTGTGTGTGTGTGTGTGTGTGTGTGTGTGTGTGCATTTCATGTTTTGCACAGTTTATTCTCTTTGCTTTACTGATAATGGTCAGAGATATTAGGGAGAAACACTTGAAAAGGAAAATGTCGCAAACACAATATAGAACATTGATACACTGAGTGTACGTGTCATAAAATGGTTAAACATATTCTGTAGTAGTAATGAGAAGTTATCCCTGGTGTGGCCTTTGAGAGATTTCTAGTTTGTCTTTTGGTGCTAGGTGCTTGGAACCTTCTTCAGGTTCTGCCCAGGTTCTGTTAGTCTTCAGTTAGCAATGCCCACTTCGCCAGAAGATCCTCATCGACTTTTTTTGTTTTAATTCTTGGCAAGGTCATTTATTTCATTAAGATTTCTTTCCTGATTAGTTTCTAGCTTGGACTGAAGTTATGCTCGTTTCCTAGGTCTTTTGTTGTTGAAGACAAGGCTCCTGTTACCATCCTGGTGGCCAAGTACAGCCTGTTCTTTGACATTCCTACAAGCCTTGGAACTATTTTTAAAGGGACATCATATTCAAATGACTTAAAGATTCTAGTTCAAGAACTATTAAGTGTGTACACTCTCATGTTATAATTCCTTATCTCCTTCCAAGTGAAGACATATTTTACACTTGAAAAGAAATGGAGACAAAACTTAGATATGAAAATAAAATCTGTGAAATAATGTATATACTATGAATCAGTGAAGAATGGCATAAAAATGCTGTCTTAATGATTTATTCATGTCTTTGGAACTTTATATAGAAATGATTTTACAATAAAGCAGTCCAGGTTTATTTTATGATGGAATTAATTAGCATTTAAACATTTCCTGTTTTAAATATAGCAAGATCAACTTTACACCTGGGCTGCAGTTAGTCAACCCACACACTCGCTGGATTACTCAGAAGGGCAGTTTCCCAGGCGAGTCCCGTCAGCATGGCTACCATCCAAACCTCCTGATGAAGAGCACAGGCCCAAGGAGTCTGAACCAGGTAGGAGGACGTGGGAAAGGGAAGGCTCGGAAAGCGTGCGGCCTGAGTGTGTCTAGGCTCTCCTGGGTAGTGAATATGTACTTTTTTCCCTAAGTGATTTTTTGTGTATAATTTGCAGACAATTTAGAATCACTGGAGGCTTATCAAACTGAAGATTCTTCCACCACAAATTTAAGGGTGCTGAGTTTGAGTGTTGGCGGACAGGACATTGAGATTCTCCAGGAATTACTTTGTACACTGAATTTGGAGGATTCCTCCCTCAAGGCTTCCAGCCACACCCAGAGTTATCTTTTCCTTAAAATATTTATTTTGCTTCCTTTATCTCTTTCTTCCTTTTATTGTTTTCAAGTATTTTATGGCCCTGGCTGGGAAGGTAGTAGGTTAGCATCAGCTCTTTTTTTTTTTTTTTTTTTCTTTTGAGGAATTTCAGATGCAGCTTGATCCCTAAGCTTGATGCTAGGAAAATGCCCTGTCACATGGAATTGAGAATCACATTTGTGTGCCAGCATCTTATGACATTTTGTTTTATCCTTAATTTTTTCCCCCTCATTTTGTGTGATACATTTTCAACTTTCTCTGGGTGGACTGGCTAGGAAAAATGACTTCTGATGCGTGAGTGAAGAGTGACTAGAATGGCATCATGGCTATTTCAAATCTCTCCCCACCTCCACAAGATTTTTCGAAATGGTAGCATGGAAGTTAGAGTTAAACTTGTTTAAAATCTGTTTTGATTGAGTCACAGAGAGAAAACTACTTCTAAGAAAATTAAGTTGTATTTATAGTAAGAAAGTAGAACACAAGGGCATTGAGAATCCCGTAGAGCAATGGTCTTGCAGAGATGGTGGGGCAGGGGATTCTCCAATGTGCTAGGACCCCATGAATATACTGTTAGTTTTAAAAGGAAAAGCACACAACGAAGGTGCTGATCCCATTGGAAGATCTATCAGCTTTATTGAGACATTTTGTAACTGATATTTTTGTCCTCTGTTTTGTGTCATTGTTTTGGCTGATGTTTTCATGTTTTTCTTCCCTACCATGTCTTTGTTGTTCTAACTGAAATGTTTACATCCTAAAATTTTAGGATAATTTTTAATATGTATAGAACACTTTGGTACTTTTGTTCATATTGGAGGAACACTTGATGGAAAGATCATTGAAAATGATAATCTGAATTTGAATTTTAGTTTGGTGAAACCTGATAGTTGGAATTGAGACCAGCAAGTTTGTAATCTTAAATCTTCATTATTTGATAGAACTTTCACTATATCAGAGCAAGTAATTTTTAATACAATAACTTGTCTCCTTTTAAACTATGCGTTCTTGAAGAGGATGATGGAGGTAAGTAGAAGGTAATTCAACGTAGTGCCTTGTTTCTTCTGCAGTTGATCTCTTGGGGCATTCTTTTGTGCAGAATGAGCAAATGGTATTTTCTGAACTTTTTTTGCTGCCATTCTTTTTGTTTGGAAAACACTTCTCTTTGGTGGCCTCATCTCCCATTGGGTGACGTCATTTTCTAGGAGACATCCCAGTTTCTCCCCCCATCCTTTTTTTAAAAAAGGATTTATTTTTTTTTTATTGGAAATTCAGATTTACAGAGATAAGGGGAGCAATAAAGAAAGATCTTCCATCTGCTGGTTCATTCCCGAAGTGCCTCAGCGGCGACTGGAGCTTAGCCTATCTGAGGCCAGGAGCCCAGAGCCTCTTCTAGGTTTCCCATGTGGATGAAGTGTCCCAAGGCCTTGGGCCATCCTCCACTGCATCCCCAGGGTACAAGCAGGAGCTGCACAGGAAGTGGAGCAGCAAGGATGTCAACCGGTCCCCATATGGTATGCCGGCGCATGCAAGGCAAGGACTTTAGCCACTAATGAGAAACTTCCCCCTTTGAGACATACAATCTTAAGAGTAAAAATGGCAACATTATAGAGAAAGCATTGCAGAAAACCTAATGCTGTTTTATATTGCTTGCAAGTTTTGATAATGTCATTATCAAGAGTGATAAATAGTTGCCATGTAATTAACCCGAGACTGCATGTTACTATGAGCAACATTATGGTTAAACCCACTACATACAACACTGACGCCTTTTCAACTTTGATTTACATAGAAGATTTTAATGACTTTTTTTTTTAAAGAGACTTATAGATCCATCTTAGAAAATGAAGAATTTCTTTTTTGCCTTTTGTCTTCCAGAGGCTCCTAAAATTGAGTACTAGTTTACATGTGTAGCTAATTCAAGTATATATACATATATTAATGTGTCTTCTGTCTTACTTACGTGTCTTTAAAATTTTTAATTTTAATAATCATTACAACGGTTGAGGGGTTGTAGACCAATGTAGGCCTCTGAGAATGGAGAAGATTGAGGTAGGAGGAAAAGTGGGTGAGACAAATGTTTTCATTTTCCCTCCTGTGTCCCGGGAAGTGGTGCAAGTACAGCACTGCTTGCTGTCCGACTGCAGAGGTGCCAGGGGACAGAGACAGGCTTTGGATGTTGCCTCAGAGTCTCCAGTGAGGGGAAGTATATTCCGAGAGTCTTACTTGAGTGATCTTGATCGTTCTCACCAGAGGGAAACAATTCTTTGTAAGGCCTATTGACTGTCCCTGTGTACCTCAGTGTGTCCATGGACCAAGGTGTTTGCTGTAAAGCCTGGCCTGCAATGTTTTCAACCTGCCCTTCCTTCCATCCTTTAAAGAGGCACTTGAAGTCTTCTGTTAGCTGAAGACTGATGAACTAGCTGTCCTGTCTTTCATACACATCTTGTTATTTTCTCTGTTTTTGCACAGGAGTGCAGCTGCCTAGCCAGTCTTGCCCTCAGCCCTGACTCTAATGTCAATCATCAGGTGCCATGGCTTAGCTCAGCTCAGCTGGGCTTCAGACCTGACGTGTGTACGTGGGCAGGTGCTGTAGCCTCATTGGGGCAACCCCAAAGAATCTCTAACAGGCACTTCCCAAACTTTGGCTCTTGCACATTCCATCAGGTGCTGCAGCCCAGCCTTGTGTGGTTTACTCCCAGCTCTGACTCCTGCATGGACCTTAGGTACTGAAGCCTAGTCTAATTGACCCCAAAGATCCCCTGCCAGGCCTGCCGCCAAACACAGCTCCTGTGAGTTTCAGCAGGTGCTGTGACCTAGCCCTGTTGGGTTCACCTCCATCCCCTGTTCTCTTGTGTGTTGGTGAGTGTGTTGGCTTGGCTAAGAGAGGTACTCTGGATTCTCCCATCTATTCTACCCTTTCTCAGCTCCCTTGATTATTTGCAGGAATAGTGGTCTGTGGAAGCCCTTAGAAATCATTTCATGCATGTCAAATGAGCCCTTACTGGCCCCCATCCTGATTTGTCCCCTGACCTCTATCCTCTGTCCTGGACAATGTGTGGCCCTCCCAGGTACTGTTCCCTCACCCCACTTCCCTCCATCCTGTTGCAGGCAGAGGTGATTCTCACATTATCTTATTTTTACTTTTAGAATTTTCTCATGTGTGTTGATGATGGCCTGCACATTCTCTATACACACCTGTTAAAGTGAGATCTTGGTACCTCTCCCCATTAGTGAATTAAAAAAGGCTTTTGCTCTTATCATCTGTATTAGTTAGGCATTGTCTCTGCAGGTGAGCTGATGGTATTAAAATTAATGTTTGAAGTCTGTAGACTGCCTTCTGAGAAAGTAAACCTGACTGGGAATGAAATTGGCATGTAATCTGCTCCAAAAGTTGGTGGCAGAAACATAATAAGAAGAAATCTTTCTGGTTTATCTTGTTTACTCTTTATCTTCACTCTTCGTTTCCCCTTACATCCATGTTCCACCACCTTCCCACACCCATGGTGGTTTTCTTTTTTGGAATGTCACAATGTGTCATTTAGAGCTATACCATCTCATTTGTGATTTATGAATCATCTGTCTCTATATACATGTCTTCCCTAGACTTCCAGTGTTCTAAGGGCTCTGGACCTATAATATATAGTTCAGTATTTGCGTGAATGAGGATCATTTGCTGAGAAAGATCAAAACAAATAAAATATCAACAAATGAATGCAAGATCTGAGGGAGATTTTATATGTGTGATCCAAAAACTCACTGACCATTTTAGAGGATCCTGATCAGATTTCAAAGGTCATTTATCATATTTACAGAAAATTAAAGAGACAGTTAATTTGTTTTCAGGTTTGTAGGGAGCAGATTCAAGGTATGTAGGTGTGAATATAGTTCACGCTTCTTGATTCATTTATGGAAAATCAGTGTTTCATTGAGAAGGTAAAGACCAAGAAAGCTAATGGAGGATTGCATTTGGAAGAAAATCTGGGTTCAGTGGGGACTTCAAGAAAATATATTGAAGGAGCTACAGCATAAACATTTAGAAAACTTAAAACAAAATTATGCATTGACTCAATTTTTAATTCACTTTTGTTCCAAAAAAAGATTTGAGTACGTTATAAATGTCTAAGATGGTAAGTGAAAGAATTACAGAGAAACGGACCAAAATAAATGCAATTTAGAGTGAAAAAATAAAATGAAACTGAGATAAGCTAACATGCTGAAATGTGTGTGAAAACCTGAAGACTTTCTTAAAGGTAATGAGGCATTTATCCCTCGGCTCCAAATCAGAACAGTGTGAACATATCCGTATCATTCCGTATCATCTACGGTGTACATGGGATTAAAACCAACACTGCCCATTAGAAACATTTTCTTTGAGCTCTAATATCTAAAATAAGTAACTCTTCCAGTTCCTAATAAAATCAACTCTGTGATATAATACATGTATGGTATTGCTGACTTGTTTCCATGTTTTGTTCCAGTGCTTTGAGACATGTTCACTTGAGGTCGTGCAGGAATTCTATACAGGGCCAATTCTATACTGGGTTATTCATTATATGAAGTGTTATCTCTTATGGATATTTCTCCATTTTTTTTCTATACAAACACAGAACTAGATGATGGGAAATGGAATTAAGAGATAAATTTATTTTGTAGAAATGATCTTGAAATTTGTATAGAAGGAGTCC